CTTGGGAATAGAGTAGGCGTGCATTTAGAGAGGGTGTGCATTTATAGAGTGTGCATTTATAGAGGGTTGACTGTATGCTGTCAAATTCATTATATAGGCAACATTCTCCAACCGGAAAAAGTTACTGCTAAAAGGTAAAACTGGAGGCGAAACTACTTCCCTGGGCCGATCCATATCTTGTAATAAATAATTATATCCGTTATTTATTGTTGAAGTTGTTATTGTATTATTGTTGTTATTGTTGTTGTTTTATTGCTTTAATGTAAGTTTGATACGCATTTACGAAATAATTATTTTATTATAGACTAATAAGCAGGCATGAGAAGTATTCGGTCATTGTTATATTCTCTGAATTGACATTTGCATGTAAATTCTTCGCGAGTAATAAGAGTATTATTAGTTTATCGGTACTTTGAGTAACGTCTTGGTGACTAATAGAGGAGTCGTCCGGTTTTGATTATGTTTAACATAATGAAGGCGTTCGTGATATAAATGATGTGTGACACCGAGAGTTTAATATACTTGTTAGAAGATTTATCATTCAATACAGCGAAGTTATTGTGAATCTAGTATTACTGTGAATTTTGTCGTTATTTTGTTAAAATTAAAATATTACTACGAATTTTGTCAATGACGGGGAATCCTATACCAAAACGTTTGGATGCTTAATTTATAACTCGGATATTAGGTAAACCTATGATTGAACATTAACGAGCGTGGGGTTTTTTTGATTTTCAGTTGCATAATTATGCTTTTTTATTTCCAACTGCATGTTAGCTAGAAATTTCCAATCAGTTTGCTTAACCCCATTGAACGGGAAGCGGATACCGAGCTCTGATAAAGGATTAAATTGAGCGTTTCTAGGTGGTTTGTTACTTACTAAACGCGCCATAACTGCTCTTTTTATATGCCACTTGCATAATTGAATTTTTATTCCCTCCCAAGTGTAGCGTGCAGCATTTATTTGGGCGAAATCCTTATCTGTTAGAAGAAGCTCTGGACATATCCCCATATCACGTAAGCTGCGAGAAAACTCTGGATGACAGCCGTGCGGATTCTTGGCCATTATTTTCTAGGAACATATAAGCGAGAGGAAATTCCGTCCCATTCATCTCAGCAAGGAGTGCATATAATTCAAATCCGAAGTTATTTGTATTATCTTTGAAATATTAATTAAAAGTTAGTATTATGTCTTATTTTGCGAGTCATAAAATTTTAATACAGTCACAAGTTAGTATATTAGTTATTATTATGCCTCAGTATCAAATGTCAGTACATATTTCGATGTCTTATAATATGTACTATTTTTAGGCGGCTAGGCAAAAGTGAATACTAGCCGATTTATGGTATAAGCTACTGATAATAATTGTATGTCCGTTCAGGGCACGTATTTGAATTCAACAATGACATCCATTCTTAGACATAAACGCCAGTACATACACTGTATGTATCTATATTGAGTCAGAACTGATAGCATGCATAATATATGAAGTACTTACAAGTTGCGTCAATCCCACATTCACGGATTTCCCATTCTATTTGTCTGAGATTCTCGCACATTCCAGTAGTAAATGTAATAGCTCGAACAGGTTCAGTTACTTCTAAAATAATATTATGTTGTCCTTCTTGAAGTCATGTTATTGCTGATCGGAAGGCGTCTTCATGGCGTTTATTTTACGCGGACTAAGATAATAGATCTTACTTACTTGTTGATCGAAATGGGGCACGTGAACGTTTTGTGCCCAATCGTAACTGTAATGAGCAATCGCGTCAACGCTACAATAATCAGCTTTACCGCTTATTATAAACTGCTCATCTACAAATTTTCTTTGTTCTTTTGCTAATTTTGTATTTTTGGTTGTAATTATTTTGGCCTTAACTAAATGTTTTTTGAATTTTTTCAACAAATCTTTCGCTTCTTCTTCCTTACGAGCGTTATACTGTAACCCATTCCGAAAATGTTGGCACGTGTCACATAAATCCGTTCTTGGACTCATTATTTGAATATAAGGCGTTGATTGGTGTCATAACTTGCGGAACGCATCATATTTTAACAATTTCAATGGGCTATCGTTTTCGAGACCTGTGATAAAATCGCGATAGACTGACTTGTAACTTGTTTCAGCTGGCAAAAGTGTAAGAGATTGAGTAATGCGATTGACATTTCTACCAGGACTTGGTAGTCCATGAATTTCCGCATAATTCTCGAGAAAATTCTTCACAGCAGTAGCAACGGTTACATCAATGGTTATTTTGGTTTTCCATCGTGGCATTCGTTTGATGTTACCGTGAATGCGTGGTATTATACCATTCGTTGCTAGATGATTTCCAAATGAGTGCGACCAATTCCTAACATATTAAGATACGTTTTCTGACAAAGTGGCGTATTGCGGTCTCAATAGTAAAATGTTCACTTATTAGTACGCGTTTTCTTTTTAAGACGTCGACTAGCGGTTATTTCTCCGCCATTCATTGCTTTTAGTTGAGCCATTACAAATATATCTTGTTCAGATCTAGAGAGAGCTTGAAATGCTTCACGTAATTCGGCAAACTTTTCTCTCGGAATTATTTTTGAGCAACCGCAATTGCAACCTATCTCTAAGAAACGTATTGCTTTTTCATATTCGGTGGGACCATTGTATTCGTTATTATTCATATACGGGTAATCCTATATATAATTTTATTGTTTCGTAGCTTTTTATTTAACTTTCGATTTTCTCAGATAAATTGCATTTATCTCTATTTTTTTTTCAACTATAACTATTTAGCGATCACCTGGCTACTTTGTCTTTAATATGATTGGCTCACAACTGAGAATCAGAAAGATATGTAGGAATCGGGATGGAGAATACGGGATCAGTGTATTGCTGTCTAAATTGAGGACTGAAAAAAATGTTCGTGATTGCAGAATATGCAAACACAGGAATGAAAATGCCACAAAAAGCATGCTGTTTAGTGTAAACTAGCTCGAGATCCTACCATTCAAGAGAATTAACTGGTGTGTCATCAAATATTACTGACCATGTCACGCTGTTGATTAATATGGAAATCGTCTGGTGTTTGTAAATCAAAGATGCCTTCCCTTCGAGTTCATCATACAACACATGGACAGGCATTACACGTTCCTGAATCCATGGTTTTCCAAAGTAGTTGGTAAGATCTTCTCTGGTGCACAAATTGATCAAATACATCTTGCAATTATGAAGTTCACCATACTCATCGGCATTATCCATATGCTTATCGAAGTTGGCCTGGTCAGCAGCTACCACAAGTTCAAACCCATATCTAGGCAGATTGGTATCACAAATAAGAATGTCTAGGCGGCGTCGCCAGTTGCCATTGTCATGACGTTCTTTCACTTCTGGTAGAACACGGTAGAGCAGGTCTGGGTAAGCTGAACCAAGCAGATTCTTGATCACAGTGACAAATTCTGCCTGGAATGAATATTCTGATGGTGTACTGGTGACATTTCTTGTTTGTTTGGCAGATATATGTTGCATAGAAAGATTCTATGTAAAAAAAAGTGTTTAAACACTAAATTTCAGGGTGCTCAATATTACAGACCCACCACTTGCGTTTTCGGACAGCATGCACGCGTAAAAAACTTACCTCGATGGTATGTCTCAATAACCAGTCGATGTCGAGCTTGTTGGTTTCTTGCGGTGGTTCTGGGATTGCGAAAGCAGGCCCACATATTCTGGAAAGCATCATGCTGCTGAGAACAGGTGCACCACATTGGATTATGATTGCATCAAAGCTTTCACCAGCACGAACACACATCCCCTCTGCAAGAAGAAACTTTATCTCGTCATTCATCTTCAACCAAAAGCAAAAGTAAATATGAAGTCCGAGATATCAACAATAACAACGACCAACCTACCTGAACAACATCATAACCGTATCGAAGAACATTACCGAGAGTGTTTCTCTGGGCTGGTGTGAGGACTGTGAGAGCTCGCATGATTGAATCATAAGTTGGTTTCCCCCATATGAATGTTCTCAATTTAGTTGCGTTTTTATTCCAGTCCTGAAATGACACTGTACGGCTGCATTTCAATAGTGTGTTCTCAATAAAGTTTCCACAAATACCAACAAGTCCTTTGTGACCAGAAGTGAGTTCGTAGATGTCATTAGCAATTTCATTAACGTCGAGTTCGATTTTTTTGACAGATACAAATTGTTTCAGAAGATCCTGGACTTCATTTTGAGAAAAACGAGACGACTGGTAAGATCCTTCCTCAGAAAATGGTGAATAAATTGATCGACCTTTTACTTGTCGGCTGGTCAGAACATCTCTTACTGACTCAGTACCCACAAGAGCAATAGAGTGCAGACAGCAACCCGTAACGTCATCTTTGATGGCCCGTAATGTGCCAATGAACTGATCGACAATTCCACCGGGGGTGTCTTTGATCTCATACAGCATAGAAGCTTCATCAATAATGAGTATCACAGGTTTTTGACGACTCTTCGGACACTTTGAAAAGAACGACAAGAATGTGGCTGATGATGCGCTTCGGCTGGCATCCTCGAACTTGAACCGTGAGTTGTCCTTGGCCATCAATGTTGCACATAGCGACCACCAGAATCGTGGTGTGCTCCCGAATTCAATACCGCTTTGGAAAGATATGTAATATACCTCAAAACCAGTTTGTTCGTAACCAGGAACTTGGATATTTTGCGAAATATTTTGCAGATATGACACTGTGGAGTGTGCAATCGTTGTCTTGCCACTTTGCCGGTGGCCAAATAGAAGGACAAACTTGCGTTCGAGGAGTGATTTTGCCATGCATTCAACGATATCCGTAGGATGAATGTAAAAGTTAATATCGGGTGATGCCGCGTTGGCAGTCGCAAATGTCTTTTCTCGGAAAACCGCTAGATAATCATAAACGACGAGCAGAAAGTGCAAAAAATGGTATTTAGTTAGCTCACAGACAGTTTGCCGACATGCGGACAAGCAGAAGACCAAACATAGAATGAATGCGACAACAGCATTCGAACTATTCTTCCCTACTCTACCTACCTAACACACATTGTAAAAGCATTCGCAACCCAAACGCGTGTTGTAATGCATTCCAACTACTCTCCCTCTGTTGACCACGGCTAACTCTACGAACCTCCGTTGCACCTCTATTAACCATACTGTTTCTTATCACCTTCAAACGAGTTCACGTATAACCCAACCTTAGCTACGACTCTGCTCTATGTCCCAAACCCAACGCATGTAATGCATTTCAACTATCCTCCCAATAAACGTGTATTCATTGCTTACTTACCTTGTTGTGACTGAAGATATGCTGCATTAATTTGTTCTCTGGAAGCACCAGGGTTTTTTTGGAGATATTTCAAGGTAAAATCTAGTTGAACTTGGTCCATGTTGATAACAAAACAGTCGCGATCTAGCTCTGCGCGCCGCCCAACTCAGCCGTTTATACGTTTTACTTACACAAACATGTGATACTTCTCCATATTGAAGCGCCGAATAGACTATAGTTACCCGGATCCAGCACACTTGGCAAGGCAGATCGGGAACCCTCCATGCTTTTGTCGGAAATCTCTTTTATACGCTTCTTTGCATATCACGTTAACAAATGCTGTATTGTATTCTGCTACAGTCGACCCTCTCTAATATCCACCCCGTTAATATCCACCTCTCTCTATTAGCAACAGTAGTTACAGAACGGATT